TTCATTATTTTCCCTTGCTCTCAATAATTCCCTAACATATATGAGATTGATTATTGTGTACACTATCTCCTGTTTTATGACTTCATAAATTTTGTGTAGGTACAAAAATGAGTTGACAAAGGAGGACAAAACTAATCTCAACACTCTAGTAGAAAGGCAAAGACATAAATTAGTAAGTCCATTAGCCGAATTGCGGTTACCTACTGTTTCAGTTTGACGGGTACTTGTATATTGTGATCTTAAAAATTGGAATTTCTTTTTTCAAATGCAGGTTACTCCTGAAATATTAAGGGAATTAAATAACAGCCGCAACCGTGGGGAGAAGGACGACCTTATGTCGATATATATCCTTTTCTTTGATATGCAAGTTTTATGTTTTTTTATTGTTTTGCTTGATCTTTCAAGTTCCCCTTTCTCTTGTTCACTCTGATTTGCACTTTTCTTGTTACTTGGATATGCATAACGTACCTGACAATCAACTTCCATGAATGTTTTATATGATATTCTGTTCTTTCACCTCTATGCATGCACAACTCAAACTGCAATGTAGTCAAATGCACGATTGTGATAGATAACGTGCATGTTTGTCAATGCTTAAATTATAACTTAAGCTGGTCAAACATTGTATCCACACATTTTGCAGGACTCTCAACTATTACCAGCTTGTTACCCATTAATCACTTCAATTTAAATTCATGCACTCCCAAACATGCTAGATAACAATTCTCTTGGTGCATGTCCAATTTCACCTATCATTAGTGCTGTGTTGAATGAGGACTCATAAACACAAATCAAGTTCTCAGCAGGGAGATGTTCGCCTTATTTCACATTCATCTCCAACTTTGTTTTGTTTAAGATTCTAGTTATATTTCTCGCCCTTTAAACTTATGTTTCCTTGACTCCCTATTACCGACTCCAATTTCCGTGGTTAACAAAACAATACAAGAAGATAGGTTTGATATCCCGGATGTACCTATGGAGGAAGACTAAATACATGTTGCAGCAGCTATTTGCATGGTAAAATGCTTTCCCCTTCAAGTTAAACCCTGTCCACTGGAAAAATCGCTTCGGCTTAAATATTGTCTGTTGCACTGCACATAATATCAGCGCACAACGGCAACCGTTTTTCCATAGCTTATTCTTAGCATTTGAGTTCCCGATGCAGGTTTTATGCAGTACTTTGGCGACAGGGACTTATTGGTGTCCTAGATACATTTAACTTTGAGCGAATGTAATTGCTGGAAGATGACCCTGTGCTCGGGTTAGTGTGATTATTCATGCATTGATGGAGCTACCTGGTATTTTTATCGGTCGAGGATTTTGAGATTTTGGTTGTAGCATTCTTTAATGTTCAATTCTTTGAAGATGCAAAGAATTTTCAGTGCAAGTATTTTGAAGTCGATTTTATTTATTTTCATTTTCAAAATTTTGTAATGGAAGCGAGTTTAATAATTTATATTTCATTTATTTTGAACCCATTATATGCCAAAATATCAATACTATTTTTATTTGACATTTGTTTTTTTCGAAATTTAATGTATTGAAATTATATTGTTTGATCATAGTAATTCCACCAATAATCATTAAGTCACTTATTTAGATGGTACTCTTTTATTATTATCAAAATAATAAAAAATTTCTTTTTAATAATACAAAGGAGACGTCTTGATCGAGAATAACTGCTTATCAAAAACACAAATAAGTTGTTTATAAATAAACAAATTATTTTTTATATACATATTTAGCGGAATTCATAAGGATTATTCTCTTATTTTTATTTATTTATAATTTAAATTGTTTATAAGCACTTTTTAAACATGTTAAATGGCGTCTGCTTGCTCGGTATCACGTGAATGAATATCTATTAAATGAAATTGAACTTTATCCCTCTTCTATTAAAAGAGGAATCCTCCAATTACTGTTCATTCAGGAAGTATTTTTCTCTTCCCATTCTATTCCTCAATAGTCAATAATTGCGGCTTCCCTCTTTTGTTAAAAGGTCAATTATTGCCGTTTGTGAAAACCAATGTTATTAGTCAATAATTTACCTCTACCACTAATATTGAATTCCACAATCAGAGAATCAATGTTATTAGTAACAATTATTGTTGTAATTTTTATTGTTTCACTCAAACTAAAAAAAGAAATAATCAACTAAAATAATTAGCTCTTGAATTTCACAATAAAAATAAAAACATACCGACCCTTCAAATGTAGTGGTACATAATTTGTTGTGTCAAATCGAAGTATGTGAAGTAAATTGAAGTAAATGAAGAATAATAAAAACTTCTACATGTGAATGGTTAAAGAATTCATAAATTTAGCGTGCGATGATCACAAATAATCAAGAATCTATAACCTCGTAGGGGGTTCGGGGGCAACACCCTAGACGGGGATCTACTTGTCGAGGGGGCAGCGCCCCTTGAAGAGTTTATCTGTTGGAAATAATTTTGTTTTAACAAATACCAAAGATGATGGAAGTAGGAAAAAAATAATATTTTTAATGACCTTGTTTTACAAAAAAAACTTGTTCCGTGCTGTGCGGAGCAATGCTCCGTCGTGTGCGGGGCATTTGATTATTTTTTTTCTTTT